ACAACTTTCCTCTCCCTACTAATCTAAGAACGCTGGAAAGAAAAGAAATTAAGTTAATCTTTTTTGATTTGCTCATGGTAAAGGCATACTAGCTCTTTGTGATATCTGCTCCTTTTTTCAGATGTTTACCATCCATCCGTTTAGTAATATGTTCTAGAATTTTATCAAAGGCAAATTCATTGTTTCATAGCTGGTAGATTTCACACTCTTCAGATGTGTCAGGTTCAGATAAGAGTGAAATGCATTTGATGCATTCATGTGGAACTTGATGCTCCTTTGTTTAAGCCAGGAAACATCATCTTCCACGTGATTCTGATCTCTCCTTTCTCAATGTGACACTGAACCTATTTGCATCTTACCAAAGAGCTACTCAGTGTTGCCATCAATAAGCACTTCATAAGCAGGGAACAGTTTCTGATAAGTTAACACGAATAAATTTCAAGGGAATGTGGCTTCCAGGGCACGTACAGGAGGGCAGATAGATCTAGGAAGTCGGAAATGAAAATGGGAACTCAGAGGGCCTTCACCATCTTGTAACATTCTGTCACCAAAGAATAGCACATTCTTATCTTTGATAAAAAAAATTATTACAACTGATCAATTCAGATGTAGCAACTCATCTCCACCCTATAAATGCCTCAGGAAAATAACTTATCAAATGATGACAGATTCCAGTTGCCACCAGTGTTTACGAGAAATAGAACTGGCTGCGCTTCCCTTTAGGCACCACTGAATAAATCACCACTAGACATTGGGTTAGCAGCACATCCACTCAGAATGCACTTCCCTTGGTCCTCTCAATTTGTCACTTCTGCTGGGTTGTCCTAATGGCAGTACTAGCAGGTACTAGCACATTGAACAGTGCTGGTATACCTGAATAGAGCTGCAGATATTGTAGAATGTGAAGTAGTTTTCAGAAGAAGAAATCAAAGCTAGAGACAGTCACATTAAAAAAATGCTCTGAAGCACTACTAATTACAGAAATAGAAATTAAGGCAACTTTGAGATACTACCTTAACAAATATCAGATTGGCTAACATGACAGAAAAATGAAAATGACAAATTCTGTAGGGAATGAGGAAAAATTGGGACACTATTGAACTGTTGGTAGAGTTGTGAAGTGGTCCAAATATTCTGGAGAACAATTTGGAACTACATTCAAAAGGCTTTAGAATTGTACATGACTTTTGACCCAGCAACATCAATACTAGATCTAGATCCTAAACAGATAGAAAAAGGTAAAAGACCAATTTTTACAAAAATGTTTATAGAAACTCTTTTTGTGGTGGCAGATAATTGGAAAATGAGGGGATGCCCTTCAATTGGGGGATGGTTGAACAACTTGTCGCATATGATTGTGATGGAATACTGTGATTCTGATATAAGAAATGATGGGGGGCAGCTAGGTGGCACAGTGAATAGAGCACTGGCCTTGAAGTCAGGAGGACCTGAGTTCAAATCTGGCCTCAGACCAAACACTTGACACTTACTAGCTGTGTGACCCTGAGCAAGTCACTTAAACCCAATTGCCAAGAAAGAAAGAAAGAAAGAAAGAAAGAAGAAAGAAAGAAAGAAAGAAAGAAAGAAAGAAAGAAAGAAAGAAAGAAAGAAAGAAAGAAAAGAAGGAAAGAAAAGAAAGAAATGATAGGCAGAATGGTTTCAGAAACACCAGGGAAGATTGATATGAACTCATGCAAAGTGAGGGGAGCAAAACCAGAAAAACATTGTATATTTTAACAGCAATATTAAACAATGAATAACTAGTCTGATCAAGATAATAATCCAAAACAATTCCAAAGGACCTATGATGAAAAACGCTACACACCTCCGGAGAAAGAACTGATGGAATCTGAATGCAGATCAAAGAAGGATTTTTTTTGTTGTTTTCTTAATTTTTTTTTTGAATTTTTCATCCCTTTTATTTTGCAGCATGGCTAATATGGAAATATGTTTTGCATGACTGTACATGTATAAGCAATATCAAATTGCTTCTCTTCTCAAGGAGAAGGGAGAGGAAAAAAGGAAGAGAATTTGGAATTCAGTTTTTTTAATGAATGTTAAAAAATTTACATGTAATTTGGAAATATTTAGCAAATAAAAAGATATTAGAAAAAAAGATATTGCAGAGTGTCTATTTTCTAGGTTCTCTAAACCTTAGAGACAGGTAGGTGGAGCAGTGGATTGATAGAACACTGGGCTGAGAGTAAAGAAGAGCTGAGTTCAGATATGACCTCTGATATTTCCTAGTGGTGTGCTCCTGAGCAAGTCACTTAACCTCCTTCAGCCTCAGTTTTCTCAACTAAAATGGCAATAATAATAGCACTTACCTCCTCGGGTTCCTGTGAGAAAACATGTGTAAAGTAGTACCAAGGTACAGGAAGCCTAGAATGCTTGGACAAAGAGATCCCAAGAGAGACAGTTACCTATGATATAACTTCTTTGAGAATTTTCACTGTGGATGTGAGGCTAGAAGCAGGCAGCATTCTGAATAAGATGACTTGAGGGGCCAGAAATCTATAGCAACCTGACCTAAGACACTCCAGGGGTCTCTGAAGACAACAGCATTCTAAATCCAAACAGTACCAGGAGCTTGAAATTTGCCAGCACTCTAAGCTCAAAAACACCAAACGAGGTGAAATCAGTGATAAGAGCTCTTGTAATGAAGGTCAGGACCAAAAAGGAACTGACCATACCATCTAATACTGTAAGAAGATTCAGAATCTAGTCCTAGTATAAAGACCCAAATCAGGAACTGATGCTGGAGATATGAGTCAACAGGAAAAAAAAATATGATAGGACAATTGATACCTAATAGGTGCACTTAGAAAAAGAGAGAAACCATATAATGATAACAAAGATGTGCTCAGAAAAAATGTCTTGGCCACAAGCACTGAAAGGGTACATGGAATAAAAGAAGTAGGAGATTTCTGAAAATGAAATCATAAATGAAATAAGATTTCTCAAAAAAAAATGAATTAAAAGGAGGATAAATACCTTAGAATATAAGGCAAGATATATCCAAGCAGCACGCTCCTGAAAATTGGAATGGAGCAAAGAGAACTCAATAACCCTATGAAATAAAAGGAAATATTAAAACAAATTTAAAAGGATGAAAAAATAGAAGAAAAGGTAAGGCATTTATGATTTTTTAAATGACCTAGAAAACAGGTCAAGGAGAGATAGTTAAAGTATACAATATGTGGGGATGGGAAAAGTAAGAGTTGTCTCAATATATAGGTGTTGCTCACAGATGGCATGAATAGACATGATCTGATGCACCATCAGCATTCCATCTGAGGGGAGGGTCAAGAAGATCAAGACTGCCAAGGCTCAGCATTCTCTTCTCCATTCTCCATTCCTCAGATATCTCTGCTTCAGAGCTATGATAGAGTCAGAATAAAATCCAGGATGTCAACAATCATATGAAAAAAAATACTATAAGTCACTAATAATAAGAGAAATTCAATATAAAACAACTCTAAGATTTCACTTTACTCACATCATATTGTCTAATTTGGCAAAAAAACAGAAAAATGAGACTTGCTGACTGGAGTGGGGGAGGACAATCATGCTAATATATTGTTAGTGGAGCTATGAATTGATCTGAGCATACTGAAAAGCAAGTTGGAACCATACTCAAAGTCATTAAATAACATAATCTTTATTTGCAAAATGCTTGGCAAACCATAAAGTACTACATAAGTCCTAGATATCATTATTCTGTATACACACAGGTATATATACATTAATATATACATGTATGTGAATGTCTATGTGTATACCCAAAAAGATAAAAAGAAAGGATCCAAAAGTACAAAAATATTCATAGTAGTACCTTTTTTGTAGCAAAGAATTGGAAATTGAGGTTATGCCTATCATTTGGAGGATGCCTGAACTTATTATAGAGTATGAATGTAGTGGAATGTCATTGTGCCAGAAGAAAGATGAAAAGTGTGATTTCAGAGAAATTTGGAAAAACTGGTATGAAATAATGCAGAGTGAAAAGAATAATTTATATAACACTGTAAAAACTAAGAATTCTGACCAACACAATGACCCACAGTGACTGCAATGGACCTACTAGAGGTTATGGAATAGAGGAACATAACGAACCATACATTTTGGACATGGCCAGTGTGTGGATTTCTTTTTGTTAACTATGCATATCTGTTACAATAGAAGTTTTTGGTTTCACTTTCTTAAGTTGGGGCGTAAGAGGTCTAGAGACCATAGGAGCCAGTGGAAATGCTGCCAAAAGAAAAGAACGTAGTGTTATTAAAGGATTTCTTTTAAACACAGAGAGGAGAACAGAAGGCAGTGGAAAGGAAGACACAGAGGATCGCTTTGAAACTAACATGTTAAATTCATCTTATGGTTTTGGAAAAGATGTAAGCTGTATTATAATCAAGATTTTCAGTTTCACATGCATTTCATATACAGAAATGATAAAGGCAATATATAGTTAAATTGATAGATATGTATAGACACACACTTATATACACACTAATATATATGTTTATGGTTTGGGGAGAGTAACTTTTCAAAATAGTTCTTTCATCCAGTCCCTTCACCCTTCACCAGCTCCAGATACCTCTCCAGCGGACTATACTTTCTGGTATAACAAGTACTAATTCCACTCTTTTTATGTGACATAGAAACTTATTATCTGTATGGAATTGAATCCTCCATTTCTCTGGCTCTGACCCTTCCCTTCTCTATGTGATACTAAATCCTGCAACAATTTGCATCTTAGCAAAGAGCTATTGGGCTTTCATCCATGAAATGACATTTATTACCCAAGTAATTGAGAAAATTCCAAGCCTCTGCTCTGAACTAAAGAACAATAGCAGAACAGTTTGGAAGAGCAATTGCAAGACTGACCCTCAAGAATTTCTGAGCACTCTGGACGGAGACAGCAGCACAAACAAGTCAGAGAAGGACAAAAGGTACTACTGACACTGTGGAAAAGCAGGTGCCTATGTGTGCTTACTTACCTCAGATCAGAGAAGCTGTAGAACAGTAGCAAGGATGCAGAAAACAGAGAGATTATCATGGTGGGGAAAGCCATCTGCAGACATGCTGATCTCACCCCAAATCGTTTTTTTGTTCATGGTCTTTAGTCAGTCCATTCTGGGGATTTTGGGGAATGGCTTTCTTGGGCTCATCAATTGCATCCACTGGATCAAGACGAGCAAGATTTCCTTACCTGACTTCATCATTATGATTCTAGCCTTCTCCAGGATCTTCCTGCAATGTGTGGTCATTTTTGATGCCACTACCTTGGTGTTCTATCTGGATTTTTATTATGGAGAGACATTAATTGAAATTTGTGAAACTAGCTGGGCTCTTAGTAACTTTTTAAGTGTCTGGCTGTCCATCTGCCTTGATGTCCTCTACTGCCTGAAGATTGCCATTTTCTCCCATCCTGCCTTCCTCTGGCTTAAGACGAGGATCTCCCAGGTGGTTGTCTGCATTCTGCTGGGCTGTGGGCTCTTCTTTTGCTTCAATACAGCGTTGCTGATCCGAACATTCACTATATATTCTGGCATCCTAAAAATGAGACTTATTGCAAACTACACTGAAAATGTCAGAAGAAAGAAAAGAGAATTTTTTGTCTCCCACCTTCTTGGTCTTCTGTGGGCACTGATACCGTTCATTATATCCCTGTTCTCCTGTCTCTTAGTCATCCTGTCCTTGAGGAGGCATACCAGGATGATGCGGCACCAGGTCACTGCTCCCAGAGATGTGAGCACGAAGGCATGTGAGAGCCATCATGGTAATGGTTTCCTTCCTCTTACTCTTTGTCTTTCATTTTGTCTTTATCTTCATTGGAACAGCAAGCATTTTCCTGCCAGATACCAAAGTGATAATAATGATTGTATTGTTGACTGCCCCCCTCTTTGCCTCTGTGCACACATTTATCTTCATTCTGCAAAACAAAAACCTGAAGCAGGCATTCCTGAGGCTGCTGTGGTTGAAGAAGGGCTGCATGAAAGGTGCGATCAGAGGATGCTTTACTCATTAGTTCAAAGGGGTAGGGTGGGGGCAGTTTAGTCTCTGCAAGTCTTTTAAAATTCTACTCTTCTATGTAGTTAGGTGGCATAGAAGGGACAGCATTGGACCTAGAGTTAGAAAGTCAAATTCTGCCTCAGACACTTACTGGCTGCATGACCCTGGGCAAATCACTTAACCGTTGTCTGCCTCATTTTCCTCATCTGTAAAAGGGAGATAATAATATTGGCACCTACCTCACAGTGTTATTGTGAGAATAAAATGAGATGACATGTTAAACTTCTTTGCAAACCTTAAAGTACTACATAAATCCTGGCTACTATTATTATAATTATTTAACATATATATATATATATATATATATATATATACACACAGACATATATATATGCATATACATAATAATGTCCATAAGTTTTTCTTTATATAAAGTAGCTTTTTAAATGTTTTTAAGATATTCAAAGAAATTTGAATTTTATTTCAAAAGTTTGTGCTTGGTACACATTATTCCAATGTGTTAAATAAAATATATAATGTGTGTGGATAACACACACACACACACAAACACACACACACACACATATATATATATATATATATACACATATATAGAAATAGATTAAACACATAGATAGAAGACAAAGTTTTTCCCTTTGGGAGCAGAGTTTGTTGTGGAGTTCTTATATTTGGAACAATATGAGTGATAGGGTGACCAGTGATCAGGGACGAAGACTAATGTCTTTGAAATAGGCAGATGTCAATGGTAATCAGGTTCCCATATGACAGATATTTGAAAAGCTGCAGAGGTTTGAAGGGAGGTATGTGGAGTGGGGCATGGGAGGGAAGGGGGATTATAATCATTATACTATCTCTTTATTTACAGTGCTTTATAAAGTGACCTTATCAGATCAATGTTGGGAGGAAGATAGTACAAGTATGTTATCCCAAGGTAATACCAGGGGGCCAGGAAGCTGTGACTCATGTAAAACAGATAAGATCCTGGAGGCTGATCCCAATAGGATCATTTTTTTTTTCTTAATTTAACTTGTTACTTCCACCTGAAGTGGAAGAAAATTCTCCTGGCATGCTCACCATATAGATGGTTTCTAAGTTTCTCCGAATGTGAATAAAAGTAGACCCCAGCTACTGTATATATATTCAAGGAAGAAATGCCTTAAACCTTTTTTTCATCCCACAGGAAATGCAGAAGACACAAAGCACTCATAGGAGTTCACAAACTGATACAAACAAACCCCTGCAAACACACACAAAAAGCCTTGAAATAACTCATAAGCTCCCTCCAGAGGGGAACTGAACAGAGGGTGACTATTGGGACAACCTTTGACATCCCAGTGAGTCTTCTTCTTCCCAGAGTCCTACATTGTAACCCCTCCCCCACCAAAACTTGAAGTACTACCTTGTAATGAAGAATCCTTCTAGAAAAAAAAATACATATGCATACACACAGAGCTACTAAAGCTAATAATCCCTTTCCCATTGGACCTGTAATGTCTCAATAATTAATTTACTGCTCTCCAAGCAAGATGTGTGCAAAATATTTTGATAATACTCTTCTTTCTCCAAGAGCCATGCTACATCAGGAGATATCTTTCCTCGAAAGGTCTTATCTCAGGGACTTCTGGGTCATGTGAACAACAAAACGGAGGACTAGACATTTTCTACAATCCTTGCTAACTCTCAGAGAAAAAAATTGTGTCAGAGGTACAGCAATTACAGCTGAATTCACAGAAGAAATAAAGTAAGAGGCCCAACAAGGGAACAGACTTCTGAATTAATAGTGGAAAATGCTAACACCTATCACATTAATTCAACACCCCTCCACCACCAGTCTTCAGTCTACTGCAGGGTGAACAATCTATATCAGCACAAATTGACCCATAGACTTATGCTTTGCATTGCCATCCTACTAGAGAGAGTCTACAGGCACACTCGTATTCATTCCCTCAGTCTTCTCTGGATGCCACTCTTAATTCTCCAGACTTCTTTTCCCACCATAACCTTATAGCCATCTTACTCTGAAAGATCATTCCTCCCCAGATGAGTGATGTTCACCCCATTTCTCTTTGGGATCCACTACTGACTCTGAAATTCTTTATCCAACATGCCCCAACATGGGTAGTTTCCTTCCAACCACCTGTTTAGCCTTATGTGTTGCCTTCCCCCATAAGAATGAAGTTCCTTGAGAGCAATTACTTATATTTATATTCTTGGCACCTTACCACAGTGCCCGGCACATAGCAAGCACTTAATAAAGGCTTATTGGTTCCAGGGGCCAAGATGGTGGAGTAACAGGTAAGTTGCTCTTACCCTTCCATAATAACCTCTGAAAACCCAGAAAATATCGCCCAAGGAAAGACCCTGGAACAGCTGAAACAGAAGAAAGATGGGGTGCAGCAGTCCTATAGCCCAGATAACTTGAGGAATTAATGGGAAAGGTCCCTCTTGCCCTGAGGAAGGGAAGTAGTACAGAAGGGGAGGTGTCCCAGCAAGCTAGCAGAAAGGCCCACCTCAGAATACCAGGAGGAGATCCTGAAACCTAGGTGGTAGAGCAGGCAAACATCAACACCTTGACCCTTGAGTGCCTCAGTGAGGATGGGGGAACCAGTGGAAAGCAGCTTGGAAAACCACTAGATGCCTCAGCATTTTACAGCAATCAGGTCCCCGAGTACCTCAGCAAAAATAAGGGAAGGAGCACTACAAAGGGCCCCAGATAGATAAACACCCTGCACCATCCATCTGAAAGGAGCTGAAGAAAGCGAAAGGAAAGGAAAAGCAGGCAACCTAGAGTTGCCCTAGAGTTCCAGCCTTGCTGATTCCAGCCCAACACCAGGTAAGCTGCCAGAACCCTACAGCCTACAGCTGCCAACATGGGAGGCCCCAGCACACAAAGCCAGTGACCAGGCCCTAGGCTCCCAAGACAAGAAGCTTGGGTCAATGCCATCTGCTCTCCAGCAGGAGAGCTCAGTCTCTTTAAAGGACAGGAAATAAGCAAACACCATGAGCAAAAAGAAACATACCATAGATTCATATTATGAAAACAGTGAAGATCGAGGCAGAAATTCTAAAGAGGACAACATTGTCAACAGACTCACATCTGGGACCTCAAAAGGGAATACGAACTGGTCTGAAGCCCAAAAAGCCTTCTTAGAAGAGCTCAAGAAGGATTTCAAAAGTCAAATGAGAGAGGAAGAAGAAAAAATGAGAGGTATGCAAGACAGAGTCAATAGCCTGCAAAAAGAAGGACAAAAATTAACTGTAGAAAACAAGTCCCTAAAAAATACAATTGGCCAACTGGAAGAAAAGTACACTGAAGAAAACAAGTCCCAAAAAATACAATTGGCCAACTGGGGAAAAAAGAGTATACTGAAGAAAACAAGTCCCTAAAAAATGCAATTGGCCAAATGGGGAAGGAGGTAAAAAATCTAATAGAGGAAAACAGTTTGTTAAAAATTAGAATTGGGCAAATGGAAGCTAATGACTCTGTGAGAGAACAAGAATCAGTCAAACATAAACAAAAGAATAAAAAGAAAGATGAAAATATAAAATATCTCATTGGTAAAACAAGTGACCTGGAAAATCGATCCAGGAAAGGCAAAATTTTAAAATTATTGGTCTACCTGAAAATCATGATAAAAAAAGACCATGGACAGTATCTTTCAGGAAATCATAAAGGAAAACTGCTCTGAGGCCCTAGAACCAGAGGGTAACATAACCATAGAAAGAATCCACTGTTCACCTCCTAAAAGAGATCCCAAATTGAAAACACCAAGGAATATAGTAGCCAAATTCCAAAATTACCAGTTCAAAGAGAAAATACTACAAGCGGCCAGAAAGAAACAATTTAAACATCATAGAACTACAGTCAGAATTACACAGGACATTGCAGTTTCTACATTAAAAGACCATAGGGTATGGAATGTTATATTCTATAAGGCCAAGGATCTTGGATTACAACCAAGGATCAACTACCTCGCCAAAATAAGCATGATATTTCAGGGGGGGAGATGGATATTCAACGAAATAGGGAACTTCCAAACCTTCCTGATAAAAAGACCAGAGCTCAACAGAAAATTTGATCTTCAAATACAAGACTCAAGGGAGACATAAAAAGGTAAATGGGACAGAAAGACACAATAAATATGTTGTTAATAAAGGCAAACTATTTACATCCCTACAAGGGAAGGTGACACTTGTAACTCTTGAGGACTGTTTTGTTATTACACCATGTCCGAGGAATATACATAAAGGGGGTAGATATAAGTTGACTTTGATGTAATAATTTTTTTAAAACTACTCAAGTATATTAAATGGATCCAAGTAAGTGGATTAATCTGATCTAAGAAAATGTACTGAGAGAAAAGGAAAGGAGGAGGCAGACAAGGGTAAATTGCATTACAGGAAAAGGCACAAAAACCTATTACAGCAGAGGGAAAGAAGGGAGGGACATGAGCATTGTTTGAACTTTACTCTCATCAGATTTGGCTCAAGAAGGGAATAACATAATCAGTTAGGTATAGAAATCTAACTAGCCCTATAAGCAGTAGGAAGGAAAATGGGGAAAGAAACGGGAGGGAGGATAGAAGGGAGGGAAGAAGTAGTAAGGGTAAAGGTGAAGAAAATGGAAGGGGCTAATAGAAGGGAGGGGGGACTGAGGGAGGCAGTGGTCAAAAGCAAAACACTATTGAGGAGGAAAAGGAGAAAGAAAAACATAAACGGGGATGGAAGGGGGGAAAGATGGAGAGAAAGACACAGATAGTAATCATAACTGTGAATGTGAATGGATGAACTCTCCCATACAATGAAAGTGGATAGGAGAATGGATTAAAAACCATAATCCTACAATATGTTGTTTACAGGAAACACATTTGAAAAAGAGTGACACACACAGGGTAAAGGTAAAAGGTTGCAGCAGAATATATTATGCTTCAGTTGAAGTAAAAAAAGCAGGGGTAGCAATCCTGATCTCAGACAAAGCAAAAGCAAAAATAGATG